AGTATTTAAGTCGTGTCTGTGTGTGTATATTGATGTATTTGTAGGGTTGATTGGACTGACAGCAGCTTCCTCCCTTTGCCCCAAAGAGTTGTGACAGATAGATTCAGGCTATCTTAGACGGTCTGTATGTGTACTGTAAACCAAAATAAATTCGAACTCGTTCACCCAGTTCTTCCACCCTGGAAAAAGAACATTTCATAGAAATGATTAAAAGCGGCTCATATTACCACTTTCATGCTCCTGAGTTTGTATAAACCTCTGATCGGGACTGTACGTGTCATCTGTTAATGTGTGGTCCCATTCTTCATCCATTAAAGAAATAAAAGCTAACTGTATGTTATACATGCAACCTGTGTATTTTAATGAAAGCTTTCTTTCAGTAACTACTTTGAAATATCCTATCTGTCCTTATACAGAAGGAAAAAAGTCAGAATACTGCTTTTTTCCACTGCGTGTACAATCTGAAAGCACTGAGATTTATTAATTTGAGCACTCTAATATCTAAATGTGTTTTCAGCTGATGCCTGTCAAACAGATTCAGGTCTCTGGCTAATGGTACAGTACTCTATACTAATTTTATTCATGTATCGCCCTTTGATTTGTTGTGTTTGTGATTTAAGAGAGCAGTTATCTACATCTCCATAGAGCTCAGTGTTCATCTCACTGCTCGTCAGTGCTAGTACACTTTGCTCCTTGCAGAAAATAAAAGCTGCAGTCCATCAAGTCCAATCCCCTCACCGGTTGAATATTTAATTTCAGACGATGAATAATTTACCAAGATAATGGTGGATGGAAGAAAAGGCTGAGTGGAGCAATTCATCTTCAACCTAAACAGCAGTTTAATGTTCAGCATCAACAAAACCTAAAATCCAAAAAATCTGCCTGTATGGGTTCATGTTACCTAGAAGAGCTTTGCCGCTAAGAAGCACTTAAATATAATTCAGCATAAAGTCAAAGTATTGAGACGCTAAAAAAGGTCACAGCCTTTTTTTGTGATTCCATAGAAATAACTTATATTATGTGTTTATTGCTGCTTTTTTACTCTTAAGGTTTTCTGTCTGCTACAGAAGTTTTCTAAACAAAGTGAAACGGAGATGTTGGTGTAGAGCAGACATTGAGCCATTAGGCTTGATCCATGTGTCGTTTCCACTGCTGAAAACAGGCACGTCAGTGATGTAGATCAAATGAAATGAGATGGATGTCGGCTGGGCAATGAAGTAATGGTGTAAAAAGTTATTCATTCATTGTGTTTAACGGGGACCTGCTGATGACGGAGGCCAGGAGTTCAGCTTTAACAGCGTTTTATAATCCGGTTACAGCCAATTAGATGCTTCCACTGAACAGAAGCGAGTGATGGACTGGTCTGCTGTGAAACAGGACGAGCCACGATGACAACCAGTGTAAATAATGCTGTAACCTGTGGTCAGCGTGGTTAAATGTGCGCTAACAGTCACTTTGTTGCAAAACGAGCTTCCAATAACGTGCGTACTTGAAATAACACTTCTTTGTGTCTTGTTAGGGTGGAGAGGTCCACAGACCAGGTCATCAAGCCAGTTAATGTGGAGGCCTTGTCCAAGTGGGTGGGAAAGATCCCAGCTGATGTGGTGAGGGACATGGCCGTCATCGCCCCTATGCTGTCCAGGCTAGGCTATGACCCACATGCCAATCCCCCAAACTATGGCCAACCTGACCCCAAAGTGCTGGACAACACTAGAAGGGTGAGTACTAAGC